AGAGTCTAGGGTGTCCCTGAGAGAGCTGTGATTGCGAAACCCCTTGTCAAATGGTAGTTTGGACAGCAAGTCGGCTTTGCAAGCCACAGAGGCATCAGAACGCCCGGTTTTGGTCTGAATTGTGAAACATTTTTTTTATTTTAAACAAGATTTAATTTTATTTTTTTATTCGTGTGTGTCAGGTGTGTAAGGCTGGAAGTGGTGTCAGGCCCCCTGAGAGTTACAGGTGGCTGAGAGACTTCTAACAGGTGCTGGGAAGGGAACTCTGGAGCAGCTAGCTCTCAGAAATCCTGAGCCATCGCCCCAAGCTCCTTTATTTTTTTTTGTTTGTTTTTTGAGACAGAGTTTCTCTGTATTGTTTTGGATCCTGTCCTGGAACTCGCTGTGTAGACCTCCTGGAATTCACAGAAATCCACCTGCCTCTGCCTCCCGAGTGCTGGGGTTAAAGGCGTGTGCCACCAATGCCCAGCTGCTCCTTTATTTTTTTGAGACAGAGTCCCATGTAGCCCAGGCTGAATTAAAACCCACTAAGTAGTTGGGGATGATCTTGAACTCCTGACCCTCCTGTAATTCCACGCATGGTCCACTACACCAGACTTGATGAGTGCTTACTGAGAAGGAAGAAAAGTTAATTCACCCTTTCTGTGGCTGCCCACTGTCCCCTGTGTTCAAGAGTCCTATGAACAAGGAGGCAGCTGTGCTTTGTACTGGTACCCATGGAAAGATTAAGAGTTTTCCACCACTGGCGTAGGCAATCACAGGCAGCACAAACTCCAGGAGCAGTTTGCTGATAGAAGCACAGATCTCGCGATAAGAATATCCAAGGAGGGGCTGGAGAGATGGCTCAGAGGTTGAGAGCACTGGCTACTCTTCCAGAGGTCCTGAGTTCAATTCCCAGCACCCACATGGTGGCTCACAGCCATCTACAATGAGATCTGGTGCCCTCTGCTGGCCTGCAGGCAGAATGTTGCAGACTAAATAAATAAATCTGGAAAAAAAAGAAAAGAATATCTAAGGAATATCATTCCACTATAGCGAAGGACAGTTTTGATTTTTTTTTTTTTGGTTTTTCGAGACAGGGTTTCTCTGTGGCTTTGGAGGCTGTCCTGGAACTAGCTCTTGTAGACCAGGCTGGCCTCGAACTCACAGAGATCCGCCTGCCTCTGCCTCCCGAGTGCTGGGATTAAAGGCGTGCGCCACCAACGCCCGGCTAGTTTTGATTATTTTTAAATCATATTTATTTTATGTGTGTAAGTATTTTGCCTGCATGTTTATGTGTGTGTTTTGTGCCCTTGGTGGTCAGAAGAGAACATCAGATCCCCCAGGACTGGAATTATAGACAATTATGATCTTCTGCAACAGTCACAAGAGCTCTTAACCACTGAGTCATCTCTCCAAAAATATAAATAAACATATATATGTTGTTTCCTGTTCCTGCCTCAGTAGCCTCCTGCCTGGAACATAAGAGGCACAGAGCATATAGTTTTTTGTTTGTTTGTTTTTGTTATTGTTTTTTCGAGACAGGGTTTCTCTGTATTGTTTAGGAGCCTGTCCTGGAATTCGCTCGGTAGACCAGGCTTGGTCTCGAACTCACAGAGATCTGCCTGCCTCTGCCTCCCGAGTGCTGGGATTAAAGGCGTGCACCATCACCGCCAGGCTCATATAGTTTTTAAAATGAATATACGTAGACTAAATTAGTAGATGGCTTTTGCAAGGAGTTTGTCATTTGTCTGTCTTCCAGGGTGCCAAGGATAGAATCCCTCAGCCTCATACATGCTGGGCAAACGCTGCTTCAGAGACCTGAGTCGTACCCATAGCTAGTAAATCATTATTATTGTATGTATTATGTAAAAATGAGAGTCAAAGAACCCTTCTAGACATTCAGCATAAGAACCAACTTTAGCCGGGCATTGGGGTCACGTGCCTTTAATCCCAGCACTTGGGAGGCAGAGGCAGGTGGATCTCTGTGAGTTCGAGGCCAACCTGGTCTACAAGAGCGAGTTCCAGGACAGGCTCCTAAACAATACAGAGAAACCACGTCTCGAAGAACAAAAGAACAATCTTTAACAACCAAGGTCAGACCTAGCCAACTCAGTGAGTTGGGGCAGGGGGTGGGGCTGAGGGCGGAGCTGGGGCCCGGAGGGGGCAGGGCCAGATAAGGAGAGGGCGGGGGCACTGCCCACTTCAAAGTGAGCTTAGCAAAATTTCTTTTCATTTGTCTGTTCTTTTGTTTTTCTGTATGTAAGTCTTCTTTTAAAAACTTTTATTTTTAAATTTCTGTGTGTTTGTAGGCATGTGTACTTGAGTGCCAGTGTCTGCCGAGGGCAAATGAGGGTGTCGGATCCCCTGGAGCTGGAGTTACAGGAGGTTGTGAGCTGCCTTACCTGGGAGTTACGCACCCGGGTAGCGAGTGCTGGCTGCTTGGGAGACTCCTGTCAAGCACAGCCAGGTCTGCCCCAAGGTCTCAGCAGAGCCCCCAGCATGCCCAGGCAAGGGGTGTTCTGCTGGCTTTCCGAATAAACCACAGAGCTTTGACTTCAAGTGTTTAGAAGTGAGCTTGAAGCCAGCTGGTGGTTGCGCACGCCCTTAATCCCAGCACTTGGGAGGCAGAAGTAGGCGTATCAATGGGTTCACAGCCAGCCTGGTTTACAGTTCCAGTTCCAGGAAAGCCAGGACTACACAAAGAAGCCCTGTCTGGGCAAACCAAAAATAAAAATAAAAATAAAAATAAAATAAAGGAGAAAATAAGTTAGCTTTAGAAAAGTCAGTGTATCTAACAGAAGCTGTGAGGGAACTTTGAGACAACCTGTTCCTGCTCCTGGGTGTTAAACAGTAATTATCTTATGCTCATTGCAACTAGAAGGGAACAAAACAAACTTTTTTTTTTTCAAGACAGGGCTTCTCTGTGTAGCCCCGGCTGTCCTAGAACTCACAGAGATCCGCCTGCCTCTGCCTCCCCAGTGCTGGGACTAACCGCGTGCGCCACCACTGCCTGGCATTAAAACAAGCTTTTAAAAAGTGTTCCTAGCAGGTGGATCTCTGTGAGTTCAAGGCCAGCCTAGTCTACAGAGTGAGTGCCAGGACAGGCTCCAAAGCCATACAGAAACCCTGTCTGGAAAACAAAACAAAAACAAAAACAAAAAAAACCCCAAGAAACTGTAAAATGCAGCCTCCACCTGGAGAGACGGCTCCGTGGCTTAAGAGCACTTCCTGCTCTTCCAGAGGATCCGAGCTTTGTTCCCAGGACACAAGTCCGCCAACTGTAGCAGCAGCTCCAGGGGAACCGATGCCCTCTTCTGGCCCCCTCAGGCACTGCACGCAGGTGCACAAACCTACACTCAGACAGACATACATAATGGAAATAAAGTCGTAAAATGAAATCTTTCCCTTTCTAAATATATACATTCATGGTCACTGTAGCAAAACACTTGGGATAATTAGCTTAGAAAGAGAAAGGCTTGTGGGGTGTGCATGGTGGACTAACACCTTTACTCTCAGCACTCAGGAAGCAGACACAGGCAGGCATATCTCTGTGTATTCAAGGCCAGCCTGGGCTGTCTACATAGAGAGCTCCAGGTCAGCCAGGATTACGTCTGGCTGTCTCAAGGAGGGGGGGGGGAGAAAAGGTTTTCTAGGACTCACTGTTAATAACTTTCAGTTCCCCGGGCATTGGTGGCGCACGCCTTTAATCCCAGCCCTCAGGAGGCAGAGGGAGGAGGATCTCTGTGAGTTTGAAGGTAGCCTGGTCTACAGAGTGAGTTCCAGGACAGGCTCCAAAACAATACAGAGAAACCCTGTCTCGGAAAACAACGACAACAATAGCTTTCAGTTCATGATCAATCGACTCTGGGACTCTGGGCCTAGGATGAACGACAGAAAGCCAAGTGGGGACCAGGGGATATGTCCCCAGTGACCAAAAGATCCCCCAGTGGCTGTGGAATAATCCTTTATTGGTCACCGTGGATATGTGTTACTCTCATTGGTCTAATAAAGAGCTGACTGGCCAATAGCTGGGCAGGAGGAGGTGAGGTGAGAGTTGCCAGACTGAGAGAATGCTGGGGAGAAGAGGGGCACAGCCTTGGGGTGTCACCAGCGAGACGCAGAGGAAGCAGGAGACGAACGCACCCGGCTGAAACAAGGCACCTCCACACGGTAGAGCGTGACTAAGAAATACACATTAAGATGCAAGCGCTAGTTAGTAACAAGCCTAAGCTGTCAGCCGAGCGTCTATAGTTAGTACTAAGTCTCTGTGTGGTTATTTGGGAGCTGGTTGGCCGGACAGAGCTGGCCGGTGTGATGAGAAACTCTGCCTACACCTCACCTCCCAAAGGTTCCACCATCTCCCAGCAGTACCCTTCTGGGGACCAACTGTTTAGTGTATATGCTTTTGGGAGATACTCAGTATCCAGTACCAACTGTTTAGTGTATATGCTTTTGGGAGATACTCAGTATCCAAACTGTAACACCTTCACATAGTGCATGCATGCATCTACACACTTAAATGCATCTATATATGCACATGTATAGCTGCATACATGTCTATACATGCATCAGTGTCTAAGTGCAGGATAAATGTAGAAAGTGAATGTGGGTTACCATCGTCTCCTTTCCTTCTTGTTTTTTTTTTTTTTTTTTTTTTTTAAAACGAGACAAGGGCTCGCTGTGCAGCCATGGCTGGCCTGGAACTCACTCTGCAGACCAGGCTGACCTCCAACTGTCAGGGCTCCACCTGCCTGTGCCTCGTGGGCAGTGGGATTAAAGGTGTTTCCAGCCTATTTTTTGTTGTTGTTTGTCTCCAAAGCAGGCTGTTGTGTGGCTTGGGCTGGCCCCTGACTCAGCACGCAGTCACCCTGCCTCTGTCTCCTGAGTGTGGGGTTACAAGCACGCCTGGTTCTGGTGTCGTCCCTTTCTGGGAAATGTTTTTAGTCATTTAGGAAGTTCTGACTAATCTCTACAGGGCTAACAGGGAGATGGTCAGCGTGGGCAGCCAGGACACCTGGTGTGATGGTATTGTCAACCTGACAACTAACCTGGGGGTTGTATCTCTAGGCGTGCACATGCCTATGTCGATTGTCTCGTGTGGTATTGGCCCCCACACTCTCATGGGGAGTGGCACCATCAGGGGGCGTGGCTTTGTAGGAGTGGGTGTGGCCTTGTGAGAGGAAGTGTGCCACTGTGGGGCGGGTTTTGAGGGTTTTTGTGTGTGTGTAAGCTTTGCCCAGTGTCACAGTCAGTTGACTTCTGTTGCCCTGCGAGATGGGGGACTCTCATCTCCGGCACCACGTCTGCCTGCGAGCCGCCATGCTCCCCCACCATGATGACAATGGACTAAACCCCTGAAACTGTGAGTGAGCCGCCCCAGCTGAATGTCTTCTTTATACACGTTGCTGTGGGCACGGTGTCTCTTCACAGGAATGAAAAAACCCTAAGACACTTTCGTTTCATTAATTAGGGTTAGACAACTCGCCTGCAGTAGATGGCCCCGTTCCCCGCTGGAGATCCAGGACTATACACGGAGCGTAGGTACATTCATCCGTTTCTGCTTCCTGATTATAGATTCCGTGTCGTCGGGCCCAAAGGAAGCTCCAGTTCCCCTACCTGCAAAAGGCAGCCCGAACATCCAGAAATGAGCCCAACCTGGACTATCGGAGGGTTTCTGGCAGCAAGATAAAAGTCAGCATTCTTTAGGAACTTGGGAAACTGGAGTCATTCCCTTACCTGTGGCAGAAGGGACACACGACCACCTGAGGTGCCTGTCAGCCTATCAAAGCCGTGCTGGCCTCCAGGCCCCTCGGCATCGCAAGCACCTGTTGTACATTTCAACGTCCACACTGGCTTCCCAGCCCTGCTCACATCTTCCTCTACCCTAAACCGCACCCCCCTCCCAGCTCACAGGCTCCTCCCCCAGCTCACAGGCCCCTCCCCAGCTCGCAGGCTCCTCCCCCAGCTCACAGGCTCCTCCCCCAGCTCACAGGCCCCTCCCCCAGCTCACAGGCTCCTCCCCCAGCTCACAGGCCCCTCCCCAGCTCACAGGCTCCTCCCCCAGCTACTACTCATCCTTATAACCTGGCTGTTTCCACTGTTCTAACTCCCACTTCTCTCTCTCTCTCTCTCTCTCTCTCTCTCTCTCTCTCTCTCTCTCTCTCTCCCTCCCTCCCTCCCTCCCTCCCTCCCTCCCTCCCTCCCTCCCTCCCTCCCTCCCTCCCTCTCTCTCTCTCTCTCTGTCTCTCTCTTTCTCTCTCCACTTATTCTCTACCCCACTCTGCCACTTCCCTAGGCCTGGCCATGTCCAATCTACTTTTTCTTCTTTACCGCACCCCTCCCCCACCCCGCATAGAGATGCGACCAGCTACTCCAAGCCACCCCTTCCTAGACTTCCCAAGCTTGGACGGCCGGCCCTGGAACTGTGGACCACAGCTACTCTGTCCTCCTGAAAATCGCCTTTGCCTTTTATCACACAGACAGAAAGGTGACTAAGGCAGCATCCTCCCAAAGTTTTCTTCCCTGCATTGGTGCAAAAACATCGCCACCTTGTGGAAGTCGTTTCCCCTGGATTTAGTGTCTTCGGTTACGCAAGAATGAGGCTCCCTTTGTGACCATTCTCTCACCCTGCCTCTTGCCAAGTTCCCAGTAGGATCCATCAGGGTGAAAACCGTGAGCGGGGCGGGGCGGGGGTGGGGGTGGGGGTGGGGGTGGGTCTTGCCATGCGGCACCTTGTGGGAGCCAAAGGACGGCAGAGGAAACCAGCGCCTGAGTCCCTTTTTCTTGGTTCCTTCTCAGAATCCCTCTAAGTGAGCTGCCCCTCCACACCACCCTACCTGTGTACTTAGGGTGGGGGGACTCCGATCCCCGATCAGGACTGGGCACTCAGCTCCCTGGGTGCTCCAAGCACAGGGCGTGTCAGAAAGAAACTTTTCTTCCTGAATCTGGAAGGGCAGGAGGCTAAGGGTGTTGAAGCTGCTTGTCAACGCAGGGGAGAAAGGAGCTGATGTTGACAGTGCCGAACCAGGGCTGGAGAAACATCACACATGCTGAGGCAAGACTGAGAGCTGCCTGAAGTCTGGAACTTTCCCCTTGGCTTCACACATGTTGCGAATGTACAGTCAATCTCCTTTTCCTCGTTAAAGAAGCGAACAGATGCCTTCCTCTCTAGCATCTTCATAACGTTGGTTTTCAGGTCACTCTCCTGTGCATCGGCTGTGAGGGAATACTCTCGGCTTGCAGGAGCAGAGTATCTGGGCTCTGCTGCTGACACAGTGTCCTTGCTGTTGCTGATTCTTACGCCGGAGCCTAGGCATCTTGGGTAAATTAGAGGTCTAAGTGCCGATGTCTGAGCTTGTCTTTTTTGGATCGGCGTCTTGTCCCTTGGTTTCTGGTTTCTTCCTGCTCCTCCGGCCAGTGTGACCTGTGCTTGAGCACAGGGTCTCTTCTTGAGTTGAGGCTGGACTTCTGATGGTTGATGGTCTGGGTGGCCTCTGGTTGAGCAGGGGACCTCCAGTGGCGTTGGGGGATGGGCTTTGATGATGAGTCCACCGGTATGCAGCCTACCTGGAATTCAGTCAGCCAGCGTGGATCAGGGGTCCTAAACATTTTTTTAAAAGGAAGAAAGAAGGAGGGACAGGAAAATACCTGGAGAAAATAAGAGGGAGAACCAGTAGGACGGCTCAGCGGGTAAGAGAGCCTGCTGCCCAGCCCGAGGACCTGAATTTAACCCTAGGAGCCTAGAACTCGGGAGGAGAGAAGAGCCACAAGATGCCCCTTGACCTCCGCACATGCTCTGTGACATACATGCCCACAAGATAAGCAAATAAAATGCAGCTTGTATACAAAATAATTACATAAGATGTAGTTTTGAAAAATGTAGGGGCCTGGGCCTAGAGAAACAGAGCTACGCCTTTGATCCCAGCACTCGGGAGGCAGAGGCAGGAGGATCTCCGTGAGTTCGAGGCCAGCCTGGTCTACAGAGCGAGTTCCAGGACAGCCTCCAAAGCCACAGAGAAACCCTGTCTCGAAAAACCAAAAAAAAAAAAAAAAAAAAAAAAAAAGATTACGTAAGGCAGTCACGTGCGGTAGTGTACACATTTAATTCCAGCACTTGGGAGGCAGAGGCAGAGGCAGAGGCAGGTGGGCCTCTGTGAATTTGAGATGAGCCTGGTTTACATAGTGAGTTCCAGGACAGACTGGGCTATGCAGAAAGACCCTGTCTCAAAAATAATAAACAAATGGACAGGAACATGCAAGGCTCTTGAGAGGACCTGAGTTAGGTTCCCAGCAGCCATGTCGGTCGCTAACACCACATGTAATTCCAGCTCCAGTGGAGTCCAGTGCCTCTGGTCCCCACAGGTACCCGAAGTCACAAGCACATGCCCACACACATAATCTAAAATGACAAACACAAACCTTTGAGGGCAGGAGACACAGCTTAGCGGTAAGATACACAAAGCCCTAGGGTTATCCTTGCAGGGAACCCAGGTTTGGGTCCATAGCCTCCTATAAATGCAGTTCCAGGAAATGCGATGCCCTCTTCTGGCCACTGCGGACGCCAGCTGTGACTATGATGCACATCCGGTCAAGCAGGAACACACACACAGACACACACACACACACACACACAGACACACACACACAGACACACACACACACAGACACACACACACAGACACACACACACACAGATACACACACACAGACACACACACACAGACACACACACACACAGACACACACACACAGACACACACACACACAGACACACACACACATTCACAGACACACATACACACACAGACACACACACACACAGACACACACACACACAGACACACACACACACACAGACACACACACACATTCACAGACACACATACACACACACAGACACACACACACAGACACACACACACACAGACACACACACACTCACACACACACATACACACACACACACTCACACACACACACACACACACTCGATTAATTCATGTAACTAAAGGTAGAGAGTAATTGAGGAAGTCATCCAGTCTGGCTCTGGCCTCTCCATGAATATATGTGCAAAATGCATATTATGTGCACACATTGAGGAACATTTACACACACACACAGACACACACACACCCCGAGACTGAAACATAGAGAACTACCTCAAGCATGGATAGTGAGCTCTTATGCAAAGGGAAGACAAAATGTGTGTGAGTGGTTTACAGAGGAAACATCTTACAGGACAGCTGGTGGTTTCTGATGTGGTTTTGTTTCATTGTCTGTGCGATCTCTGGTTTGCTTATTTATAGATAGGAACTCCAAACACCGAATCTCTCAGTAGCGTTGGCCTTGCTGGCTGCCATGAGATACCTAAAAAGTGAATCCAAGCCGGGGAAGACTCATTGTCACCCACAGATCCTTCAAAGTGATGCCCCACGTCCTCCAAGCAGACCCCACATCATGTCTTCCCAATAGCTGGGGACCAAGTCTTCAACACTGGATGTAGGCAGACTTTTGATGCTCAGTCGGTAACATTTCCCTACTGGGATTAAGACAGCAAACAAGCCCCCCCCCAAAAGAGAAACAACTCTAACCTCTAACTTATGACCAAGTATTAGTTTCACTAAAGAATTGCTTTTGAGGTTCATCTTTACGGACTGTGAGACCGTATGATATGTCACTTGTAGTGATATATTCTTTAATGATTTATTAAGGTTTCTCTGAGGACTCAGAAAAGCAAAGTCAGCCTTGAGATATAGAGATCAGGCAGTGGTGATACACGCCTTTAATCCCAGCAGCCAGAAGCTAGGACGTGGTGGTGCACACCTTTAACCCTAGGACTCAGGATTAAGAGGCAGATGGATCTCTGGGAGTCCAAGGCCTCCCAGATCTACACAACAGTGATTCAGTCTAAAAAGAGAATTATAGCTCACACCTTTAATCCCAGGACTCGTGAGAGGCGTATAAGTCCGTATCAGGATTCAGTAGGAGGCATTCATTCTCCGGCCACACTGAGGAGAGGCAGCAGTTTGAGAGTTGGTGAAGAGCTCTTGAATGGATTGGCCCTTTTAGCCTCAGTTAGAGGTGAGAGCTAGTGATTGGCTCCTTTGCTTTTCTGATGTTCAGCTTGAAGTTTGAACCCCATATCAGTCTCTGGGTCTTTTATTCTTCGTGTTATGTTTCTGGGCCATCCCATGCTCTACTCTGCCTCTAGGGAGGGTGTAAACAGTCCCCAAGCTCAGCTGGGATGATATTTTGCATGGGGCACAGCTGAATGTCCCAGCATGACATTTGCTCGGCGTATTACTCATGATGCCTGGGTTGCACAGTAAGCCCCAGGTAAACCTGAGTTACACGCTGAGGTCCTGTTATTGCTGGAGTTGGGGGAGGCGGCTCAGCAGTTAAAGAGCATCGGGTGTTCCTCCAGAGGACCTGGGTTCTACTCCCAGCACCCACACGGAGGTTCCCAACTCTGCAACTCAAAGTTCCAGAGGATCTGATGCCCTCTTCTGGTCTCTTCAGGCACTGCGTGCATATGGTACCCAGACACACATGCAGGCAAAACACGTGCATAAAATGAAATCTCAGAAAAAAAACATGTAAAGACTATTGCTAGTAATGATAATAAAAATCAAAAGAACCAAAATGGGATTGTCTTTGCTGGGTTCCTCCTGCTGTGAAGAGACACCATGACCCCGGCAACTCTTACAGAGCGTTTAATTGGGGCTGGCTTACAGTTAGAGGTTTAGTTCATTATGGTCATGGAGGCATGCAGTTTGACAAGGTGATGGGGAAGCTGAGAATTCTACACCCAGATAGGCAGGGCAGGAAGAGAGCGCCACTAGATCTGGCTTGAGCACTGGAAACCTCAAAGCCAACCTCCAGGGACACACTTCCTCCAACATTTCTGTACCTACTCAAACATGGCCACATTTCCTGATAGTGCCGCTCCCTATGAGCCTATGGGGGCTGTTTTCATTCAGAACATCACAGGAAAACAAGCTGGTTCGTCTGTCTGAAGAAGGCTTTGGGTGTGTTATACTCACCCCAAACTCTGGGAGAAGAGATCTAATAAATGATGCCTATTTGGTAGGATTGACACCATCTCCTGCTATAATTCCTTACAGTGTTCTACCTGCATGTCTGCCTTTGCGCCAGAAGAGGGCACCAGATCTCATTACAGATGGCTGTGAGCCACCGTGTGGTTGCTGGGAATTGAACTCAGGACCTCTGGAAGAGCAGGCAGTGCTCTTAACCCCTGAGCCATCTCTCCAGCCCTATACTACGGGCTGTATTAGTCATTTTTCTGTTTGCTGTGACAAACACCTAGGGAAAGCGACCTAAGAAAGGGTCTACTTTGGCTCATGGCTTGAGGGTGCGGTCCACTGTGGTAGGTAGGGAAGGCGCCGTTACAAGGACAGCTCTAGTGTGGCCGCAGCTGGATGCAGCTGGTTACATGATGTCAACAGTCAGGAAGCAGAGAGAGATGGACACCGGGCTTAGCTTGCTTTAACTTTCATTTCTGGGAATCTCAGCTCACTGGATGATGACATTCAGGATGGGAACTCCTTCCTCAGTGAAGCCCCTGCCTGTAGAAATGCCCAGCAGTTCAGATGTTCAGAGGTGTGTGTCCTTGGCGGCTCCAAATCAGCGAAGCAGAAGATGACAATTAACCAGCACACCAATTAGAGGACTGGGTCAATATTTAACTTTTATCTGGATCATACGAGGTAACAGTCTGCTCTACAATCAGATGCCAGGACAGCCAGGACTGTTATATAGAGAAGCCCTATCTCAAACACACACACACAGGCACACAAGCACGCACGCACACACACACACACACACACAAGCGCGCGCGCACACACACACACAGAGTATAGAAAACATTGAATTCTGCCATGAAGGGCACAGGCATCAAGCTTGTGATTTCTAGCAGGAGTAGACCCAATTACCAATAGAGCCATTGGTAAAACCTCTGGCCAGAGAAATCCAGTGGATTTCATTAGTTTGGTCAGTTTTAGTTTTAGAATAGCATGTGTTTATTCACCCTTGCCAGACAAGGAAGAAGAGGACAATGACAGATTTTCCCAGCCAACACTACCATGTAGGATGAACACTGCCTTTATGTGGCGTCAGCTTTTGTTTCTGTCACCATTATGCCCTTAGCACAGTGACAGCTTGGGAAGATCAGAGTCTGGAATGCTAACTCTTGGGAGACATTCACAAGGCATCTGCATTTCATCCCTTAGGGTGAAATGATTTCTCTTGGGGCTGGAGAGATGGCTCAGAGATTAAGAGCACTGACTACTCTTCCAGGGATCCTGAGTTCAATACCCAGAAACCACACGGTGGCTCCCAACCCTTTGTAATGAGATCTGGTGCCCTCTTCTGGCCTGCAGGGATACATACAGGCAGAACACTGTATATATAACATAAATTAACTAAAAAAATATTTCTCTCCAATCTTGGCCCTGACCTTAACACAAACCATGCTCTTCCAAAGTCCAGTGACTTGCTCTGTCAGTCTGAAACTTACTCCGCACTCTCACTCAGGGTTGAAGGAGCTTTGAGGGCAGCCATCAAGACTTCTGGGCCTCATAGCTGCCCCTTTCCTTCCTGCAGAGAATTAACAGCAACACACACCCAATTTTGTCACCCCAATAGTCCACTCTCCAAAGTCTCAAGGGTCCAATACATCGTACCTGCTGGCTCACCACTCCAATTGGCACACCTTCCGAATCCACCCCAGTGGAAGATTCAGCCACTGAGCTGCTACCATGTTCTGCTGGCCACCTGACGGTGTGTGATCCATTTCCCAAACCTCAGCACAC